AAACTAAAAAGTCCAATAAAAATAATTGGACCTCATACTTGAATGCCAAGGCCAGACCAATTTTGGTCATTGTGCAATGCAATCCAATCTATCTACCATTTCCTATGAGAAGAAAAGGAAAGAAAAAAAGCTCAAAAATATAACAAGAGTGCCATGTGTCAGTGAGACAGCAACTTAAAACCTTTGCTTATCTTATAGTAAGAAAAAACTAGGAGGTTATCGGCTGTGCTAAGCACAACCTAGGCCCCCTATAATCTATTGTCATATATTTTCGTATAAGGTAAGATTAACAGTAATGTTTGTGAAATAGCATTCTTAAAATTACAAATTACCAATCAAGCATGCAGCTAACAATATAAGACTAAACAAAACCAAAAAACCATTAACATTGCAAAAGATAAGAGAAGACGACAAAAGATTGGCAAGTAGTGTTACAAACAACTTGATATCTTCAAGTGCAAGTTAGTCTTACAGAGATGGCAGATGACTTGCTGAATGCTTAATATAAAGTGCAATGATAGGCGGCAATTACAAAAGATCACATATTGAGATCCATTAAGGTGCACAAAAGAACAATTTCTTAATGGATGTCAATATTATGTCAAAAAATGCAAGATTAGTAATTCAGCTCTAAAGTGCTTCAACATTAGCAAAATTAGCAATTCAAAAGGCTTCAAGGAACTTCAGAGTTCATCATCACGCTGCTTCTTCAAGGGACTTCTAGGTGCATTGGTGGGCAGCAAGGTAGATGTATTAGCTTCAGCAAAATGCAAACCAATTTTAGAAGGCACAGTTCCAAAAACCAAGGTCCTTTTTGCTGTGGTCACTGGAGGCAGCACTTTGTTTGCAGTAGCAGAAGATTCAGCGATGGTATCAAGCAATTTTTTGGTTGATGGACTGAAAAATTCATTTTTCTTGGTAGATTGTAGGACAGTAGCATGAAGGTTTGGAATTTTTTCATTCATTTCTGCAGTCGTGATTGCCATTGGAATGTGAATTGATTCCTTAGTAGTGTATGCCTTGACAATATTATACTTGCCTTCCTTCTGGCCTTGATAATCTGCCTCATAGTAGCGAATGAAACACACAATCGAATGCTTTCCGATTGCAGATGCTAGTTCAGCAGAAAAGTTAAGCTCCTGCAATTTTTGTTTTAAAGTATAAATAATTAGCAAGTGTATCCTGAAATATTAGCTATTTGTTTGGAAGTAGAAGCTCTTATTGTAGATTTTGACTTGGGCAATGATATTCAAATTCTGAGTAACTGCATGTTGTATGGAAGGAAACAAAACATATTATACCCAAGACATTATGGAATTACTGTGAATGATGGCAAAGCCAAATAATCTTTTGTTTCTACAATCATTACACTTTTACATGGTGAGAGCAGTATTCATACCCAAGAAAAGAAGCATAAAAATCATATTATTCGGTAGTTATTACTTGTGCCTACTCATCAGACTATTCTGAGTCTGTTTAAAATATTTGACTCATTCTGGACATGCAGTTCCAATTCGATTGAGGTTGGATCTGTCATGCGAAGAATGTCCAATGTTCTAATTGTCCAATCGTGCACAAACTTTATTAGTATCAGATATATAGTTCCAATTGTGCACAAAATTTCTATTTACTTATTTACCTAAAACCAATCAAATCTGGCAAAGAAGGGGCTGGAAGAGGTAACTCGATATCCCATTTACAGGATAGCTCAATTGGACTCAAATCTCAGAACCTTATCCAGAAAAATGTACCCATTGACAGCTATCATTGTTTTTTCCTGAATACCACCACCCCTCCTTTTGCTTTATGGGTTTCTTACAACTAAATTTCTAATAAATTATCCTCATACAACAGTAAGAGTTTGACAGTTTGTGGCCTTAGTAACTAATAGAAAAGGCTACAAGCATGAAAGTTCAAATTAGCAGGAAAACCAACTGGCTGAGTATCACACACAAAAACAACAAAAAAATGGAAAACAAAAATGAAACTGGCAATTCCACCAGAAATATAGTCCACATGATATAGGAAACTTTCAAGTCAGCAGAAATATAGAAAACTATAATGGGCAGCAGAAATATAGACACATGAAGTTCATGGTAGTTGAAGGGGAAAAAGAAGAAATCTATGAAGGGAAAAAGAATCGACAACATTAAGCAAGATGTATTAAGCTGGTAGTTATATTATCATGCAAGAGTTAAACTTGTAGCAGAAATTTTTGTTGCCAAGATTGTTAGCTTACCTCATTATGAGCTTCCCAGAATTGAAGAGCTGTAAATGGGATAAGCTTTTTAGCATCAAGGCCAAAGATAACATTGTTTATGGAGCTCGTACCATCATCCACAGTAATCCCAATTCGGGTCCTATTACACATTGGAAATAAAATATTATATTCTAATTTTTCATTACAAGAGAAGGAAACTTAATTTGGTAATTACCTTGCTACAACTTTGCTCTCTTCTTTGCAAGATGGGCATCTCATAACCCATCCTACATCAACATTGATAGCCTTTTGGCAGTTCTCACATGCTTCAAACCAGAATTTTTGTTGCCCAGGGGTCAAACTGGTTTTTCCTGTTATCCAAGCTGTTTTCACCTAATAGATGTTTTTGTGAACAGAAAGAAAAACACCTGAGTCTTGCATTATTTTGGATGGCTAAAAGATATAAATCAGGTTATAAACGAAAAAGGAAATTACATCTTTGAGTGCGTTAAGTGCATTGGCTACACTGATCATGTCATTAGCACTTGGAGGTGGCAGCAGCTTAGATGAATCTTTGTATGCTATTTGTTTTATCAACTCTGCAATTTCTTCTTTATTTGCATTATACCTATCCAAAAAATCAATGCAACAAACTATAATTTATCAAAGGGATCTAGAAAAGTTTAACTTAAATGATCAAAGAACATACGTACCATTCTTTGAGTGCATTTGCTTCAGCAGTGGGAGGATTAATCAGAAGGCCACTCCCAAGCTTGGTTGTCAAGGATAAGTCTAATAATAAAAGCAATAGTTTTCATTAAGTAATAGAGCAATTTAAAAGCCAGTGATTGGCTAAGTTATTCTAACTGGATGAATAGAAGTATGAGCTGTTAAAAGTATATTAGCTTCACTTACAATTAAAAGTTGTGATTTTCAGTTTCATGCCAATGATAACGTTGGCATTCCCAATGCTGTTTGCAAGCTGTGTTCCCTGATTTTGTTCGAACTCATTCCAAAGAGTAAGAAGCATTGGCTTTTTCCTTTACAAAAAAGAGGAAAAATGGGGAAAAATGTGAATGCAACAATTTCATGCATTGAATAGAAATATTAAAAGTAAGGTTCATATAACTAACTCTTCATTCACAACAATGAAGTCTCTTGTTGTAGAGCCGTTATTCTATTCCTTTGTCGCAAATGCAGTGATGACAACAGCTTGTAAACCTTCGTACAAACCAAAAGAGAAGAGGTTAGCTGTGTTTCAATAATTAAAGGAAATATGAAAATGAATTTATATTTCAATTAGTAAAGCATAGATATAACTTACTCTGAACATTCTCCGTGTCTGCGAACCTAAAAAGGTCTTCAAATTTGGTGAATTCAAAAGTGCATGGTAGCATTGGTGGATTTGGCTCGACATATTCTTCAACTAATGTCTTGTTATGAATCACCCATGAGAAGTGGGTCACTAACTTTATACTTTGCATCCTGTTTTTTGACAGTCCCACCAGTGATATAGTATCGCTTGAATGGTTGCAGTAGATTAGCAAAATAACGAATGTCATTTCCATAAATGACAGCTGAAACCATAGTTCCCTGTTCACAGAAAGAACCATGATGAGCAATATTTACTAAAAGGCTGAAGTAGAATACTCAAGGTGAGATACATACAACAACAAGTATGCAGAGTTTTTTTTTTTTTAGGAGGGAGAGGGGGAAAAAACATAGAACAGCAATATTTGAGTTGCAAGAAGCAAATCACTAAGAATAATCAGAGACATTTTATGTAGAAAAATGGTAGAAAAACCAGAAAAGAACTAGACAAGAGACTACTATCAATTAATGTTATCAAGAGACCGCTATCCTTTGCCTCAATTTTCCTTAAAGGCAAAAAAAGCATTTCAGATTCAAGGATATGTAACAGCAGAAAACGTGGGACTCTTCGAAAGAATTGAAGTAGCAAAAATCTAAAACGCTTTCTGTATAGATACTTTAGTAGCTGTTGGTCACGTTAGTAGGAGGATTTTTTTTCAGATTCTATTCCTTCTTGAAAATTTCAAGAAGTTCTTTGTACTTCGTAAGTCCAGAGGAGAAAAATTGGAAACAGGTGAACTACTCTTGCTTACAGTTGCTGTGTTTTCCTCTTTTACTATAAATCATTTCCGTAAGTCCTCAGTACTTCGTTTTAGTCATTGAATGCACATTGAGACACTCAAATGCATCCAAGTTGTAACATTTTCAAATCACTATACATGATCTCCTATGCAAAAAGTTATATTGATTAGGCATATATCATTGGTTAATAATAAACCTTGGAATATTATAGGGTAGAATCATGTAAGTTAAATCAGAACTTCACTATAGTCAATTTACAAGTGGTGCTATTTTAAGTTCCAACGAAACAATATTACCCAAGAAACATAAAAAGAAACCAATATTAAAAAGTAATTGGCCTGAAATTAAATTGCACAAAGGATAATTAATAATCTGGACATGTTGATGATTTAGGAAATGTTAAATTGCTAAGATTAGTTTCAGCTTATATCACCTCAGAATTTGTTAAGACGAGACGCTGAAATCTGATAGGCGGCAATCCGTTACTGGTTAACACCTGTGATTTCTCCACAACTTGCACAAGCACTGTCCACCTTCTCATCTTGTCATGGACTTCATGCACTGAAAGACATCTCCTTGCCATTGTTATCTATACTAATAAGAAAGACACATAATCAGTTTGTAAGTTAAAAGAGAAGAAATTCTGGAACATTCAGGAAAACTAAAACTAAATCATAAAACAACATATTTACTTGGCAGCTAAGCGAGAAGTTTCAAGAACTTCTCTAAATACAATAATTTTTGTCTGATCTGTTCCAGGCTTGTCAAAAAATGGAGGTTTAATGAGCACTTTGACTTGAGAAGCAGTTCTTGCTCGCGATAATGCAACATAGAGGTGCCCATGAGAAAACACTGGTTCCTTCAAATAGATACCAACACAATCAAGTGTTTGTCCTTGAGCTTTGTTTATTGTCATGGCAAAGCACAAACGAATTGAAAACTGAGTCCTTATATATGGAATAGGATATTGTTCATCAGTTGGAGGTTGTAAGGGAATTCTATGGATGAAGACATCTTTTCCAGCAAAATCTCCCACAGCTATTTGAGCATGAATGACATGTTTGCTCAAACTTTTATAGATTAATCTTATTCCATTGCATAGATCCTCAGTAGCATTGAAGTTTCTAAGCAATATCATAGGAACACCAGGTTTCAAGATTAGTCAATAGGGTGGAAGGCCACTGGGAGATAAGGAGTTTAAAAAATCTTCATATTGAACTTGATTGTTTGGATTCAAAGCTCGATCAAAACTCAGATATTCTACTGCTATACCTGGAAATTTTTCAATTAAGATATCATTCACTTCATCCACAAAATGATTCTTTGTGATGAGGATTGCTCGATTTAATGGCAAGGCAGGATTTTCTGATCTATGTTGAATGTGGGGATAAACCATATCTATTAGATCATGAAGCGATGCATTCCGTGAACCGTTGCTAACCAAAATAGAAGAAGGCAGTTGTATGAGACTGTCACCTTCAGCTTGGTCAGTGCCATCACCAACCCTTAATAAGAAATCAGCGAATGAGGGATCAAATCGAGCCCTCATGTTTTGTGTGAGCTCTAATTTTTCAAGAGCTGGCCAAATAGGGGAATTAATCAAAGAAGCAGCAATGGTTTCAGATTGGCTTCCCTTACGAACCACTGGTAAGGTTTGCCTGAAATCACCCCCAAGAACAATTACTTTCCCACCAAAGATCTTAAAGCTTCAATCGCAGATCTCTTGCATATTGGAGCCTCATTCCAAATAATTAATTTGCATTCCTTAATCATATTTGCCAAACTGCTTTATTTGCTAATTTTGCATGCTCTACCCTCTGAGGTATCAATTGGTATTTTAAACCGAGAGTGAGCGGTTCTACCTCCAAATAGTATTGATGCAGCAATACCTGATGTGGCTATCGCTAATGCTATATAGCCCTTTGACCTAATATCAGCCAACAACGCTCTATAAAGAAAAGATTTTCCAGTCTCACCAGGGCCATCAACAAAAAATGCACCATTCTTATTTTCATAAACTCTTTTAGATATAACTTCAAATGCTTGCCTTTGGTTCTGATTAAGCAAAGAAATTGCATTTAAGTCCTCTTCAAGGACTTTTATGATTTTTTCAGCCAATACATCTCTTGTTTGGTTCTCTACATCTGAGAATGAGTAATTATTAGGAAGTAAGCCAAATGAAGCTATATTTTTTCCCATTGACTGTAGAAAACCATTTATTTGCTCTAAAACTTTTCGTTTGATTTCTCTAGCAGACAATTCAGTATTTCTCATGAAATCTTCGGACATGACAGCCTCAAATTTTGTCCATAGCTGTTTGGGGTCATTAGGACAGGATTAAACTAATAGCGTAGCAAAAAGTCGTCTCATTTCATAAGGCATATGAAAAAGAGACGCTTCTTGTAGACAAATTTCCTGGCTATTATCATCCTCAAGTAGGCCGCGCAAAAGCGTTGCCTCACGAAAGGTGGTAACTTGCACTCCATTATGAGTCATTAAGTCTTCAAAAGACTTTGGAGCACGGACTTTAGACAAAAGAAGTCTAAGGTAATATCTTTCTCCCTCAGATGGATGAGCTGTATTTATTCGACCTATAGAATCTCCCTTATCTCTAATTTTCCAGCATTTTTCATCAACTAACCAGACAAAATGGTCTGGAAATTGAGCATCTATGCAATTTAGTTCTTGTGCAACTGAATCTGTTCTATTCATATAGAAAAATTCAGTCAACATTGTCTTCCTATTTCTTGGGTTTTTGACTATGTTATTTAAATTTTCATGCTTCTTGAAGTGAATTGGCTGAAAATTTGGAAGATGCAATTGTAGGTGAATGATAGCCGGTTTAATTTCTCCCATGGAAAATCGAAATAGTCTCCAAACAGCCTCAGGCGGCGAAACCCACCGAGCTGCCTGATATTGCTGAATTTCATCAATCTGATTGTTTGGATTATCAGAATTGATATGGAAACTAATTCGATCATGCCCTTTGCATATATACTTGTAAATATATTTGACAGCCTGAATTGTTGAGCAGATCTCAACATTAATGTGGCAATTGAACTTAGCAAGCAAATATGCATTATGAGGAACGACCCATCTATTATCAAGCTTTTGTTTTCTGACTTTAATTTTAACACCATTGTTTCTTCTTCGATATTTTGGATAGGAATCTAGTGTCTGAATTGTTTGCTCAAAAAACTCTTTTGGATAAGAATTTTTGCAACAGTCATGCTTAATCATGCAAACATTTGATGGGTTCAACATACCACAATAAAGCTAGCTGGTAAAAATACTCTTTGACCGACATTTGCTGCCCGGACTTCACCAGTACCTATTGAGTTTACTATACCTTGTAAGAACTCTTTTCTAAATTCTTCTTGATGGGTTCTCAAATAATCTAATCTTTGTGATTCAAGTTTAACATACATATCAACAACATATTGCTGAAATAGCCTACCAAAGTGCAATAAGAAAGATTCATCATCATTTCTCATTTGCAATTTATAGGCATAGTATTCACGGATGGAAACGAAATCAGGATCGCCGTCTGTGCCTGCCATTACTGGTTGAAGGAATTTAGAAAAAAGGTTAATGAGGCTGGCAGGCTAAAATTAATAGAATGCAGGTGGAAAAGATTTATTCTACTTACAGTCTTGTTCCATTTGTATTAACTCTTCGGCCGTAGAAGCATTCATTGGAGAAATAGAAATTTGAGCATATCTTTTCCTAGTTTTTTTTTTGTGCACCTTTTTTCCTTGTTTTTTAATCCCTTGATGCCAACCAGATTCACCAAAAAGAAGCAAAAGAGGGTACTGGAGAGGGTCATAACAGCCATAGTAATATTGGATATTGTGTGAATAGCCACCATGGGTGCACACTCGAATATCTCGACGGCTTGTTTCTCCATTTTCTTCTCCTTCTACCCATAAAGTAGCAACTTGAGACACTGTAGGCTTATTGAATACTCTTTGGTCTAAACCAGGGTGTGTTCGTAAAACAATGCGATAAGTATCAAGGTTATGAACCTCTCTTAAGGCGCGAAAGAATCTAGCATAGGGATTTTGCTGCATGACATTCATGGTTTTTTTGGAGAATATTCTCAGTTAATCTTGGGTAGGCATCTAATCAATTTGCTAATTCATTTTCACTGTCATGAATATAGAACTGCAAATTTTTTGCGGTCTCTAAATCATTGATGAAATGATAAACCTGACCTTGCACTCTAAAAGTATAAATGCCTTTATTTCTCTTAGCCAAATTTTTATCACATTTTACTCCAAAGGAAGTGAAAGCAAATGTGTTGTTAATTGTTCTAATACAGGTCCTAAACAGTTGAGCTTCCTCAGATGATGAGGTAAGAAGTTCTTTTAGAACAGTTGGGATTGAATTGCTAGCTAAAATAACATCCCCATTAGAACAACAAAAATTTGCTATTTCATGAACAAATTGTTTTGCACCACAATGGGGGCAGTTTGGTTGGCGAGGAAGTAGATCGGCAGCAATAGGAATGTGATTTAAGACCTCCTAACCTATTTTTGGCATCCTTGCTATAATCGACAAGAAAAAGATATTTAGTTATTCATTTTGTGTAGTGCAGGGCAGTAGAAATTAAAAAATTGAAGCTAGTAAGATATTAAATAGTTTACAAAACTTGTACGCCTTCTCTTAGGCTTTACTTGGCTTGATTGGGGTATGTCTCTATCTATTCCTTCAGTGTTTGCTACCGAAACTGGATAGAATATGGTATAAGTTAAACAAAAAGGCTAAGGTGTAGGAGGTTAAAGGTTTATGTTTATGTGAAAGGTTTATCTAAGGTTAAAGTTTTTCATGGCATACTAAAGGTCTGGAAAAAACTATTTGTAAAAGGATAATAATTGCAGTAGTCAAGGGAACTCTTCTAAATGTGAAAAGGCATGAAAAATGTATAAAATTAATTTTATAGTTTATAAAAGGATAAGTTAGAGTAATTGATTTAATTTTAAGATTGAAGTCATAGGAAACTGAAGTTTATGAAAATGGCTTTAAAAGACAAAATGAGTTTAAAGTATAATCACATAATATTTTTTATGTTATGGACCTGTTTTGGTTGTCATTGAATAGAAGTCATATACTTTTACAAAAATTTAAAATGGTTAACTTGGAAAATATGCAGAAAGTAGTGAAAATAATGATATGGGAAAAATGCTTGTATGAAACTGTATGAGCTGGTTTGACTTTAATAGCATATTAATGGGGGTGATTAAGTAAAGAACATGTAGATTCATATTGAATTGATTATGGTTGCACAATATCCACCGCAGGGATGTCAGCAATTGAAGAAAGATGAAGTTGAGGTTTGGCAGGTGCACGTTCAGATGTCTTTTTTTTTTGGCACCTTTTATGTTTTAGTATCACAGATCTCTGCCTTCTATTATTTGCTGCAACAGGATTTTTTGTTGCCAAGAGTTCAGATGGTGCATTGACCAATGAATGCACCATATTTGAACTTGCAAACAGCAAAGTAGCTGGGCTCACAGGATGAGGCATACCAGACTCAATAGAGTGAGTCACAAACCTAGAGCAGCTAGCATTTTCAGCTTCTATTTGCTCTGTTTCATGCATACAATGCATCTGAGATATTTGAGTTTCTAATGTAAGAGGATCCTCTTTGTTATAGTCTATGCTGGAAGACTCAAGTGCTGCAAATCCAAATGGCGTATTCATGGATGCTTCTGTGTCATTTGAATTGGCTAGCAGGATAGAATGAAAATTTGGACGTCTAAGAAGAAATGACTAATGTGATTCCAGATATATGGAGTGAAGCAAGCCATCTCTTTGGGATTTTTTGCTTCTACATCTCATAATTTTTTGGCTTCCATTATTTCTTATAGTAAGAAATTGATTTTCTCGAAATGGAAGTTATATGCTCATAGATAGTTGGCTGTTATTTAGGCCTATAGGAAGCAAATGAGACACATTAATTACATTCGAGGGTCCCAGACCACGAAGTCGTGACAGCCTATCTAACCATTTTTGCCTCCATCTTTGAATAGCTTGTTTTCTATAACTAACTTTATCCATATTTTTCAGTCACCTCAAATGGAGGAATACCAGTAGCATTCTCAGAATCCCCATTTATGAAAAAATATATAAGAAAAGAAGGATGCTAGTCCATCAAGGCAGACATGATAAAATAGCTAAAAGAACTTCTCTAAGGTAATGGCTGACTATCAGATATGTCGATCACTATTTAGCCAACCATGTAATTACTCTATATTATACGGTTGTTTATATACTCTTACTCAAACAATATTAGACAATCAAATGAACAGAAAACAACTATAGAATAAAGGTAAAACCAACTGGACAAATGACTAAGTAGAGCTTAAAGGAAATGAGCATATAGAGCCACCAAAGTCAAATAACAAAAGCATAAAAAATCACGAACTAAGGAGACAATATAGCTAACCACAGTTTTTTTTTGTAAAAGTCAGATTGAAGGATTAGACATACCTTGCAACAGTAACAATAAATCAGAGAGGGAAACGTACAAAGCTTTGCGTCTAGGATGAAGTATAGATTATCCAAGCAACAAAACATATGAAAAAAGAAATATCAGGGAAAGAACATAGACAAAAGGGGCAAAGGAAAATAGTAAATGTTAATTCTTGCATTAGTTTGCTATATGAACTGCTGCACTATAAAGTTGTAATCAGTGAACACATTGCGTCTAGATTAAACAAAACAGCAAGCATATCATATGCAACTTGGGGTAAAACAGGCATAATACCCTAAGTTGCTTAACTGATAGTCATATAAATGAGTGAACGAGCTGTGCCTAAAAGGGCTACAATGAATAACAGCCGAAGAATGCTCTACATACAATATCCTTAAGAAGTAACCATCAGCCTTTTCATTGCCCTAGAGAAGTCTAGACTAAACGAAACAGCAAACAAGTCACACACTAAGCAATCAATTAGAAACAACAAGTACAAAGTCTTAAGTTGCTTAACCAATAGGCACTTAGATCACTAAACAAGCTTTGCCACCTTAAAGTTCTCTAAAAAATAGATAATCACTCTCATTCCTTATTTAGAATAACAACAAGTCACATATATATCATATATGTATAATGTAAGAAAAACTAACTTAGATTCTGCATAACTTCATTGTGATTAAAGACAAAAGCACCAGTAGCAGGAGGTTGCTAATGACTTTGGTTCACAAAATCTGTTATTGATGCCCATTACTACAATCTTTTTTCTAGTGTATATAGCAATTTGACTATTTGATAGAACATTGATTATATG